TTTTTATTTAAAATTAATATCTAAAAAATTAAAAAATCTAAATAAAGTAATTAAAGCAAAACAATGGAGTATAATTTTATTTACTACAACAATTTAATATAAGAGTGTATTTTTAAAATTATCTACGAAGAATTAGTATTGAGTTTTTGCTTGTTCCTATGTCAACTACACTCTCTCCCATAAGGGCATCAATTGACTTTGGTTAGAACTAAAACCGAAGGGGCAGTTTTTATCGGTAGAAAATTTTGTTAATTAGCAACCAAAACTAAACCAAATAATACATCATTTATTTGGTTTTCAAACCAAATTAGTCGGCTCGGTTAGCCTCGATCTCGGCTTTGACCAAATCCTGCACTCATTTTTTTGGGCCTTCGGGATTTGTAGCCATTTTTTGGGCCTTAGGGACTTGTAGCCATCTTTTTGGGCCTTCAAACTTGATATCCCATTCAAGTTGCCACTCTAATTTCAAATTTCCAATTAACTTGTTTTATGATCAATTTCCATCAATGATAAACCAAAAAGCTGAAAAGCTATTCATATATGATGTATATACAAATCCCTCAAATTTCACAAGTTCAAAAATTTAAAAATTAACTTAAACTCCGTTCCACATACAAACTACACAAGTCCAAAACATATAGATCAAAAAACATATACATAAGTCCAAATTATATACATATGAAAAGAGAAGGATACAATTAACATCCTACTAATTTTTTAAAGAAATAAATGAAGTAAAACCCAATAAAATTGAAAAATTTTATCACAAAGCCCTGGATTAACCCTAATCCATTTGTTTCTCACAAAATTACACAATAATGAAACTAAAACAATAAAAATAACGGAAAAATCCATGAAATTTTAACTATATCTATTAAATTTTTTGAGAGGGCTAAGAAGATAAATAAAAAAAATGAAAAAGTGTTTCACAAGATGAGCTATATATTAAAAGTATAATTTACTTTATAAATTTATTAAAATACTGTTAATAAAATTATGGGAAACAAATATTTTTTTCCTTCTTTAATCTTATGATTTATATTTTAACTTAACTTTAATTATTCATTTATCATAAAAAAATTATTTTTATTTCTTTTATAATCGTATAATAGGGAAAAAATAAAAATTCTTCCTAAATCCTTAATTCAAAAATAAGATAAAATAATATCTATTATTCTAAAACAGATGGAGTAGTAATTTTAGGATACTAATTGGTATATCCCCTAATTCAACACATTGCATAACGTACTCATTAAAAAATTATCATTTTCTAGTATAAAATTAAAGATAAATAAACTTAAAAGTGTAGCAATGTATATAGTATACAAGAACTAGCTAAATTAATTATTCTTATATTATTTTTTTTTAGGAAATGGAGAAAATATATTAAACAATAAGAAAGTACAAAAGAAACTTCATTGCAGGCATATAGCCTAAAGACAAAATCAAAAGTATAATCTACAACACTAGTAACAATTTAAACTATGCTCATGACGAATATAGACAATTAAATAAAGAGAGTCATCTGCAACTAGAAATTGCAATTGCAATTGCAATTGTTGTATAGGCTAAATAAGGCTACTAATGTAGAAAGGAGAGTCACTATGAGTATTAAAAGCTACTAGACGTCCTCACCTATTTAACCAGCGTCCTCACTTATTTAACCAGCTTCATGGGGAGAGCAAGGGATTCCGGCAACAAATAGTCCCTAGCTTGCAGGTTGTCGCCCTATCTATTCCTAAAAATTAACCAATAGAAGGAGGGCCATGGTCCCCCTTTATGCAAGCACAAGGCACCCTAATTTTCTCCAAGTGCTCCCAACCATGTTTTCCATCTTTTCCAATCCACTTCAAGCCCTTTCTGTTGAAACTTGTTAAGGGAACTAGAGCTCCTTTGCCATCCTTAATATCATTCTTCCCTTGTAGATCACAATCGGCCTCACCAATAGTATCATGTTCCTTTTTGCATATCCTCTATACTAAAGCCCCTTTGTCGGCTTGAATATCATGCTTCCCATGTAGGCCATAACTGGCGTCACCAACAACATCCTTTTCCCTTTGTATTCGGTTGCCTAATTGAAAATTGGAATGAGCTAGCTTCGCTGAATTCGACCCTCGCCAAGATCCCATTTGAGGAGATGTGCCAAAGCTAGGTTCTTACTCGTTGAATAGGAGAAACCCAATCCATCGGTAAGATCAATTCCCTCGTTGTTCTAGTCGCAATCTTCAGAAATCAACCACAGATGTAGATCTGAATATGCCACTGCCTTATGGTCCCTTGGGATGAAGTTTCCAAAGCAAGACAATCAATGAAGGTGAAGGAGAGATCAAGAGAAGGAAGGTAAGGGTAAGAAGAAAACAAGAAAGAAGGAACTCCATTGATGAAGAGAAACCCTAGGGAGGAACTCACCGTCGCTACTTTCAACCCTAAGCAGAGCACGAGAGAAACATAGATTAAGTTATTCTTATATTATATTTTAATGACTAAACCAGATAAGTGTTAAAAAGTATATTGAATCGAAAGTTGTACCAATCATTTTTTTTAATTTTATTAATTCTTTTCACTTATTTGATGATGTAACAATTCTATAGATCAACAAGATAGACAAATCAATTTGTATTCACTACCTTGATAAAATGTGATTGTTATTGACATATGTGTTCAATAAAGCATTTTTTAAAGGCTTAATGTCACTAAAAATCCCTCAACTTTGCTAAAGGAGTCATTGTCATTCTTCTAATTTAAAACAAGTCCTAAATAACCCTGAACTTTGGAGAAAGACAAACATCATCTCTCCATTGACTGTCGTAATAACGCCGTCCATCCATGGTTAGAATTCTCCAAATTTTACTGCTAAAGGCATAGCTTGTCCTTTAACTTTCAATTTTTGTGTACCTTGAACTTCAAACTTCATATTTATTCAATTTGGTTCCTAATTTTAACTTTTTTATTACAATATAGTTCCCAAAATTTTGAAGGGATGTATTTAAATTTCAAAATTTCTAATTCTATGCATTTCAATTTCTTTTTTTGCACAAATAATAACAAATATATAACTTTTAATAAAATCACATTTAAGTATTTAACTAGTTTAAATATCAAAATCAAGTATGAAATACTAAACTAAAATTACAAAATTCAAATCATCAAAGTACACAACTAAAATTATCTTTGGTATCTAATTTGAAATTCTGTGAAGTGTTGCAAGTGATGAAACTATAAGGAACATAGATATCACTTGTAGTGTAATATAAATATGGTTGTGTGAACATCATGAACTAAGGACAATTTGGGTGATGTTTCTATGATTATGAGTGTATGACAAGGAAAAAGGAAGCAAACATCTCTTATTTACCCCTTTTTTTTTTATCATGATGTAGTTCTTTTTTTTTTTCTTTTTTTTTTTTTTATGATGCAATGAGTTATATGTATGTAGGTAACTAAATGTCATTTCTTTATTTTTAGAGATCTCAAGTTGAGTATTAAAGATGTGATTTTTTTAATTTGATTAAATGAATTTTATATATTTTAGTTACTTATTTAGCCTTAATTTTATTAATATTTTAAATAAGTTAAATGTGATTTTATTGAATTTTACATGATTTTTATTATTTGTGAAAAAAGATTGTAATACATGAAATTAGAAATACTTAGATTTAAGTAGAACTCTTTCAAAAGTTTATGACTAAATTGCAATAAGAAAAGTTAAAATCAAAGATCAAATTGAATAAATTTGAAGTCTAAGGATCAAAGTGCATAAGAACTGAAAGATGAAGGAGCGTCAATGTTATTTTACCATTAAAATTTGGGGGATTTCAACGATAGCCTAACGGTGTTATAACGATCCGTCAACAGAAGGATGATACTTGACCTTTCTTCAAAGTTAAGGGATTATTATAAATTGTTTTAAAGTAGAAGGATGGCAATGATTCCTTTTACAAAGCTGGGGGATTTTTAGTCACATTAAGCCTTTTTTTTTTTAATTAGCAAAGTTTTACTAAATGAAATATATTACAAACAATCACACACATCCCTTTAACATAAATAACAAGCGATAAAATTTAAATGGAGTTATAGGGATTGATACTCCTTCATAATATAACAGGATCCACTAGCAATAATTCAATTGTGGCCTTAATAATGTGAGAGTTTGAATAACCATCACCGCGCTCATATATGAAATCTATCATACGAGCCAAATTTAGAATTCGAGTGAGTATAGGCATGGGAACGACTGCTGGTTTCATGAACCCTTCATTAATATCTCTCCATGCATTCGCAACTTCTTCCTGAAATAGTTTCACAGTCTCTTCCTTTGAAGCACCATATTGCTTCATATAGCATTCAACACTTGATGCAACATGATCTCGTGTTTGCTCAAACTGCATTTGGTTGGCAAAGGAATTAGTTGTTGTTAACTCTTGGGAGTGTTTGAACACATACTAGAGTTGATTAACCCCCATAATTTAAATTTGTAATTAATGAGAACCAAGACGACTAAAGCATTGTGCATACCTCATGCGAGACAATATCATCCGTGAGTCTACAGATAATTGTGGAAGCTTTAAGCATTTTAGGATTATTAGAGATCCAATCAAAGACCTCCTTAGTTGCATCTTCTCCCATGCCAACAAAGGAATTTGTTATAAGCATTGGATAAGCACAGGAAATGAGGGCAACCTGCATATACTCCTCCATAACTGGAACGTAGCTCTCTTGAGACCACTTGGCTTCATTAAAGTAAGCTTTCACTAGTCTCTTCATCTATTTGTAAAATTCAATCACACATATGAAAGTAACAAAGAGTCCAAAATCCCCAAAACCTGAATTAAATCATTCATATGCCAATTAGTTACTTACCGACTCTTTCGCATAATCCATAGCATATAATCTTCTTTCTTTTGCAACCTCTGCTTCCATTTCACTATAAACATTTAGGAGTGCTTGATAAAACAATTTCATATATTCTGGAAGTTGATCTATAACGCCAATGTCCCACCTAAAGACCAAGGGATCAAAATTATTGATTCCAATTTGAAATACACGAATATGTTCCAATAACTAGGCTCTAAAACCGCATGAGCATGATTTGTTTATATGATACCTTTTTAGTAATTACTAAATATAATAATATTAATTCACAATTAAAATTAAGTTATAATTAATGAATATAAAAATTAATATTAATTTATTATAAATAGATATTTAACCTTCATATCAATTAAAATTTTTTGAAACAAAAATGATAGAATGATTCATCAAATTTTCAGTAATTTTTTATATTTTTTTGTATCTAATACTATTACTATTATATGTTTCTTTTTTATCCCAATTTGCCTCCTCTTTCTAGAATACTTGCATTAGAAGGCTTTAAATTAAAACAAAGAAGATATAATTTAATAGCATTATTCTCTTAGTAGTTTTCTATTTATCTAAACTCCACATTTCATTAATTTTTCTTATGACACCATCTACTAACTTACCTTCATGTATTTTATTATTATATGTATTTATATACCCATATTTGCCTCAATTTCTCTCATTCTATATTAATAATTTGCTTATTATTATTCTTTCACCTTTTATCCTACTACTATATAATTCCTTTCTATTCACTTATCGCGCCTATATCAATCTTTATATATATTTTTTATTCCAATCCTCTCAATCTCTCCCTTTATCTATATTAGATATGTTCCACGTCAAAGTTTAAAAGTCACAACTTTTAAGCATTGTTTCATTAATATCTTTTTACTTTCATACTATTACTCCTATCTCTCATCAGTTTTTCTTGCAATACCATCTCCTAATTTACCTTCTCATTTATTCGCACTTTAAACTATATCTACCCTTATTTTTCGTTTCCTTATTAATTTTGTTAGTTATTATTATTTCTCTCCTCATTTTCCGCTAATATCATTCTTGCTTAGCCATCCTTTGTAATGGCTGAACTCAACAAGTACTGAAAAGTGTATCAAACCAAAATGTGTACTAATTATTTTTTCATCATCTATTATTATATATCTTGTTACCCATTTTTACTCTTTCTATCTATTATTAGATTTTTTTTTCTCATGACTGCAATAACATATAAATATTTTAAAATCACAAATAATTCAGTAATATATATAATAATTTATACACATAAATAAAGTTTTAAATTTTAACCAATATAAAGTAAAAAGTCTATATTATCTCCCTCACTTTTCCTTTTTATATTAATTATTTATTTGTTATTATTCATTTTCTTATTATCCTCACATCTCTATTATTTTTTTTTAGTCATTCTTTAAATCTTTATCTATCAAAATATATTTTTTTACACAATTTTTTTTCCTTTCGATACTTTTTCACTTACCTATACTTCACATTTTATTAATTTTTCTTAAGACTTTATCTCTTAGCATGTTCTCTCACATTTTATTATTGTATTTATTTATATACTCTACATTCTCTCTCTTTCTCTCTATATATAAAATTTATTTGTTATTAATTGCCTTAATAAATATATTAAAAGCCTCCAACAGCCCTTACTGTACCATTATTATAATTTTTTGAGATATAATTTAGATTTTTAATAAAGAAAATATTAAAACATTTTTAGGTTTCTCGTAAAGTCTCCATTTTTAGGTTCCTTATAGGTGTTCCTTCTTGTAAGTGTTGTTTTACATTCACATTAATTGTACATTGCAATTTGTAGCCATTTATTATTCTTGATATTTTAGTAATCATTATTGAGAAATATATTTATCTAAAATTATTTGCATGTTAATCATTACTCCTTTAGTTCAAGAATAACGAAATAAATAAGAATCGCTTTACCAATTCTACTTTGAATATAATATGATGTGTATACAGTAAACACATTACATAATTAAAGTAGAAATCTAATTATATATTTGGGATAAGTTGTTTTTAACTTTAATAATATGTAGATATAGAAGTCATATTATTATCTGATAATTGAAATAAAATTTAAAAACAGTTGGTAAGAAATTTAATAAAATTAGAGTATTTTAAGTATTATAATATAGTAAGAAATAATTAAATTTGAATTTGAATTTGAATTATTATATAATTAAAGTTTTTGAACAAAATTTTGAAATCAAAATATAGAAAGGGAGGTTATTGGGTTTATTTATTTATTTTTGCCAAATTAATTTATGAAATCAAATTGAGGTCTTGATAAGTAAAATTATAATTATTTATTGAAGATTGTAAAAGGTAAATTGAGTGTTTATTTGATATTTAGAGGGATTTTAAAAAGCTTAATTATTGGTATTCATTTGAGATTTTTTTTATAAAGATTTTAACAATTTTTATAATATAATAAGATATATTGATTTTGAATTTCAAAAGCTCATTGGGAAGTTATTTAAAATTTTTAAAAAACTTGTTGAGTATTTTTCATTATTTATTGAAGGTTTTAAAATGTCTATTGGGTTTCTATCATGGATTTATTAAAAATTTTAACAATTTTATAATAAAGACAAATAAAAATGAGTTTAGAGTTTAAAAAGTCATTGAATATTTATTTAATATTTTAAAAAGTCCATTGGGTATTTATTCAAGATTTATTGAAAATTTTAACAATTTTTATAATATAATAAGATTATAAGATGATTAGAATTTCTATTAGGTTGTACTTATTTTTATTATTTAAAATACAATATTGAAAATGCTTATAAAATTTATTATTAAAAATATAATTGAGTTCATATTAAAATGTAATTGAGTTTGGATTTTAAAAAACCTATTGGATATTTATGTGGTATTTTATTAAAGATTTTAAAAGGTTAATTGAGTATTTATTTAATATTAATTGAAGATTTAAGGAAGATTTTAAAAAGCTCATTGGGTATTTTTTTTAGTAGTTATTGAAGATTTATTGGGAATTTATTGAGGATTTTAAAAGACTTATTGAGTGTTTATTTAGAATTTATTGAAGAATTTAATAATTTTATAATGTAGTAAGATTTAACTAAAATGATCAAGCTTAAAGTTGAGAATTTAACCTTTCAACACACTTGGTCAAGAGCTCGAGTTCTTCAGGTGTCCCGTAGTTATCATATGTATCATCCAAAATGGATGTCATGGCCGTTACTTTAGTTAGAAATGTCCTTGCTAGGGAGTATTTGGGTTCAAAGTAAACTCCCATCATCCAAAAATAGCCCTCCACAAGTCTATCCCTTGCATATGGTAAACTTGTTGCAAAATCCAAGTCTTTCCACCACCTGAAAACCAAGCCAAATTTGAATCCTAAGATAATAAATCACCATCATTAGAAGTTTACTAAAAAAAAAACACTTACTTGGTAATTCCGTTGAGTTCTTTTAGATGCAATGCTTGCACCATGTTGAAATCCATCTTTGCAAATTTAAGTAGTGCTGCATTAGAGGAAGCAAAATGGGTTTCTCTGGAGTACAGAGAGATGTGATACCTTGCTTCAATTCTTGGTAAGCTTTTTCGGATGGGACGAATTAGGGCATGGGATATTTGTTCTTGAAGCAGAGGGCTTACTTTTGTTGCCATTGATTCAAGGTGAGAGATAGTGAAAGCAATAGCTTCTTCCAAGATATCTTCTCCATGAAGGCGAAGATGTGCAGCCTCATATAAATTTAACATTCCAGGTACATCATTTATTAAATCTTCCTTGAATTTTCCCTTTTCATCTATGAATTTCTTGAATATCTCTACATCAATTTATAGCAATAACACCATAAGTGCAACTAACAAAAAATTAACCTATATACATCATAATTCATAAACACAATCTTTTTTTAGATATTAAAACATTTTTTTGGATGTTAAGAGAAAGAACTAACCAGATGGAACTTTAATTCCTTGTTGTCTAAGTAATCGAAACCAGACAGCAGTTGTGTGAAGATCATATTCAACATGATCAACACCACCAAGATGTATCTTCTCTAAGGCATTGTCAATTTCTATCTCAAAATGGTAAGCAATGCCTAAGCGTTGAATCGCATCTATTAAATGCAATTTCTTTGAAGGTTTGATTGTGGTAGTATCAGTTAGCATTCTCCTTACTTGTTGCTTTAATTCTTCATGTTCTTCTTGTGTTTCAGGTTTAATTTTCTGCAAAATCATTCCAAAACAGAATATTAAATGTGTACTAGTAATTCAATTTTGTGATAAAGCTTAAAGTCATAACCTCTTTTTTTTTTTTTTTTTTTAAAGCAACAATTCAATGTGATAGCTTAATTCCCCTAAGAAACAGTACTAGCGATGAGAGTGACTATATATATGTGGCTTAATAATTCATACAGACGAACCAAGATGTTTCGTTAGCTAATAAAAATGAATATGTGACCATACAGGCATGATAAAGACACAGACAGTGAACTTTTGAAATTAAATCAAGCAAGTAGGATACCGTGTAAACTCAAAATACAAAACTTAATTATGTAGTAATAATCGAATATAGAAAATAACTGGAAGAGTATGAAATACCATGGAATTGGAAGAATGTTGAAGGAAATAATCCTTCCAAAGGCTAGGGTGATAACTAGACGTGGATCGATGGACATTTTTGCGGGTTGTATTTTGAGGTTGGGAGGGAAGGGCCAAGGGTAAACCTGACATTGTTCTACTATATGTGAGAGGGCGAATAGCTGCTTGAAAGCTTTTTGTGCTATGCAGAGCTTGAGGGCTTTGGTATTTATAGCCAGAGACGGAGTCAATGAAGGACAAGTGGGGGCAGCCGCCCCCCCCAAGCTTTTGAAAAACATTTAATATGGTACTTTAATTTTTATTTGTTAAAAATTTTATTTTTATAGTATAAATTTCAAGGAATATTTCAAATGTAGAGAAAATATTTAGGATATAAATAAAAAGTTTTCAAAAAATAAGGATATAATTCAAGTAAAATGAATTTAGGTCAATTAATTAATTAAAAATTAGGGTTCTTAAACATTTTCTTATCTATTAAACCCAAAACAAAAAACTTTGATTATCTATTTAAACAGCTTTAAATTTACAATTTTCTTTAATATTCTTTTATTTTTTTCTTAATATTCTATGTAATAATTTAAAGTTTTTTTCCTTTTGACATCGAGATATATACATTTTTATCTTTCATGATTGAATTTATAATTTTTTAGTTAAATCAATTTAAGTTAGAGTACACTTTT